ATGGAAGGATAATTGGTGCAATTTGTAAAGCAGTGACAATTTAATTATTGGCAGTTTTACTCAGACTGAAGCAAGCCGTGAAAGGAGGACTGCAGCTTAATATCACATTGCATAAATATTTTGATACCCTGAAAGAGTCACGCTTCCCATCAGAGTGTCAGGGAAGGGCTTTGCCTTTTGGATATCATTCATTATTCCATAGGATGCATTTATTCCCAAAAGTAGTTTCTGGTTACACTCTTGCTGAAACCTATAAAATAAGATCCAGCTAACTGGCATGAAACCAAAACAAGATGATCTTGTGGCCTCTATTAATTAACATGCTCTAGACACCAGAAGCAAGCTGAAGAAAATGAACATGACATGAATTACAATAATAGTACTGGATTGTACCTACTGACAATCTATGGTACCTAAGCTCTAGGTATCCAACATGGGGCTCTCCAGATGTTGTTGGACTCCAACTTCCATAATCCCTAAGTATTGGCTACGCTAGATAAGCCTGGTGGAAGTTGTAGTCTGGAGAGCACTCTTGAGGTCCTAAAGCAACATGCTCAAGATTACAGCTTGTACCCAGCAATCTTCAACCAAGAATGACTGACAGTCCTGCGTGCCACTATCACGCATGAACTTCAAAGTAGATTCAAATTTACCCATGAAGTCATGCAGAGGCCATTCCTAGCCCAGTACTTGAAATCCTTTTTAATAACAATCAATAATAAATAACTAAAGGTGTCAAGATTTAACCTGACAACTTTTACATGCAAAGAGGGTGCTAAGTCTGTGAGCTATGGGTCTTTCCATGACAGGATCACACCTACTTGTCACTGCTGGTAACCTCCAAAACCATTCCTCCTAATTACCTAAGTCTACATTATCCTTATCTTGATCAAGCCTCCCAAACTGAAATTACGTCTTCAATTTCAAGCACACCAGATGTAATACAGTTTTATAGTATATGGCATTTGTAATATCAGAAATATTAGTTTGAAGTGTTTTTCTCAGTTTCAAATATTTGACGGATGGTTAAGGGCTACGTTTTGATTAGAAATGGGTGAATCACTCATAACGTTTTTACTCATGTTTGTAAAAATAAAATAAAATCAGCTAGTAATCTATCCATTCAAAATGTTTTGCATTCCTTTCCAATGCAGAGGTGACTTTTCAAAAGTCCAAGTGAAAAGCCTGATAGATGGGTGCCTGCAGAAACAATTATGGGATGGGGAAGGCATGTGTAGTCCATGCATGTGTGATCACGTGATCAGATTTCATTTTGCTGGATCGCAGTCAATATCTGCATTTAGCTATGTTTAGGAAGACAGCCCACTGCATTCTGTAGGACTCACTTTTGAGTAGACATCAGTAGGATTGCATTCTTAGATGTTTAAAAGCAAAGCATGGTACCTGCAAAGAAACAGTCCAAAAGATGATCCAAAATGCACATTCAGATTTCTTGAGCATGACATGCAGCTCTTCTGGATCAAGAACACTTTGAAGCATTCACTGCATTGATTTGTTTCACTCATTGCTGGGGTTATTAGTATGAAATATCCATTGCCACCTAGCCACGCACAGTTTTCAGAGTCTACTGGTTTGCATTTAAACAGTAAAATTTGCCTTCAAAGGCAGGTCATCTTTGAGATTATTATCTGCTTTGGTAGGATTTGATGTGCAAAATCTTTTGACTGCACTGTCTTTGATTTTTATCTGTCTGTTCTTCACGTGTCCTAGAACACCAGGGAGATTTAAATGATACATGACCCATCAGCTCCCAGCTCCAGATCTTTGATGTTATTATAATGTATTCAACTTCAGGGCATTGTTCTGGCCTTTTGTACTCAGTGCTATGTATCTTCACATCTACTCAGGACACACATTAACAGGTGCATACTTTGCTTTGTGGTACTGCAATGCTTAGAATTTCTGGAAATTATGTCTGTGCTTTGTACAGTGCTGAATCAGGGTCTATCCTGGCTGTCTCACAAAGCTTGTAGCTAGGGAACATCAGGCCTGATTCTCTAGTCCACGCCATAATAATTAACTTAGAGTAGGACCGAGCTAAAAGCCCCTGTAACTTCACAGCCTGATTTGCAAACTACAAGGTCGCCACTCCTTGGTCAAGAATCCATATTGACTTTGCAAGTCCCTTCCAGGGAAATAACTTTTTGATTGTGGCAGACTCCTCCTCAAAATGGCTTGAGGTGGTCTTGGTCCCATCATGAACTTCTACTGCAGCAATTGCAGCTCTGCACAAATTATATGTGACACATGGATTGCCTGATACAATAGTTTCTGACAATGGCTAAGCATTTACCATCAGTGGAGTTTAAGGAATTTACAAATAGAAACCTTATCTGAGCTGTCACCGTTGCACCTCGTCATCCCTAAGCAAACTGACAGAGTGAACAGAAGGTGCAAAAAAACCAAAGGATGCCCTAAAGCAGATTGTTGGTAGAAACTGGACAACCAGACATGGCAGGTTTCTCATTACTCAACAGGTCACTCCACTTCCAGCAACAGGAGTCAGTCCCACCAAGCTACTCATGGGACATCTGCTTAAAACGTACCTTGTCCATCTTCATCCTGACTTAGCTGAAGAATAGCAACGTAAAGACAAATGAGTCTTGGATGCTGCTCTGTCAGCATGTATTCTTTGTTCATTCTTGTGAACAGCATTTTTGCAAGGAAATAGGGGTCTAGATCCAGGTGCTTCCTTCCATTATCGTGGTCACTGGACAGGCATCTCACAAGGCCCAGCGTGCTGGTAGTCAAGAACGGCATTGCAACATTGATCAGTTGAGAAGGTGCTCCTCTCAGCAGACCATTAGAACTTTCCCCTTTAGAGCAACCAGTAGAAGCTCTTCCTGCCACACTACCTGTGGACATATCAGAAGAGCACAGTGACGAGAGCAATGATTCTTCCTTACCAACAGCTGCTGTGAACTACAGGCACCACAGATGGCTAACTGGCAGTGAAGTCAGCAGACAGCACCGTGAAAGGACAACCTTGGTTCCACCTTAAACATCTTCTGCAACAACTGAAGCTTTGAACTACATAACCTAACAGGAGGGGTGTTGCTAATGATTTAAGTTAGTGGGGTGTTTTGCCTCATTGGGCTCCTGTAGTTCTCTTCCAGTTCTAGCTGCTTGGTGGAACCTTCCTTTTAGTATAATTATGCTGCAATAAAGCTAGGTTGTGTTTGAAGGCTTATGAATTGTTTCCTCCCTGAACCCTCAACACAACACTGAACTGTGTCTAAAACTTAATAACAATAGTGCCTGGCAAGTCTCTACCTACAAAGTGCCACTATAAACACCCTTTTCCCCATACAGTACAGTGGTACCTCTGGTTACGAACTTAATTCGTTCCAGAGGTCCGTTCTTAACCTGAAACCGTTCTTAACCTGAGGTACCACTTTAGCTAATGGGGCCTCCCGCTGCCCCCGTGCTGCTGGCGCATGATTTCTGTTCTCATCCTGAGGTAAAGTTCTTAATCCAAGGTACTACTTCTGGGTTAGCAGAGTCTGTAACCCGAAGTGTTTGTAACCCAAAGTACCACTGTACTGTATATGGATTTGGTAGTTGTAAAATAAGTGTAGTTACAGTTAATGTCGCTAGTTGGCATGAGTGATCATAGAGTTATGGAAGCTGTATCACACAAAGTAAAGTGTTCTTTGCTGTGCTTACTCAGAGTGGACCTAGGGAAATTAATTATTGTTATATTATTAATTTATATCCTGCCTTTTCCCAGACAGGGAATCAATGACACTACAGATAAAAATACAAAAACACTTAACTTAGTCACATTCATTAACTTCAGTGGGTCCGTTCTATGTAAAACTTAGTTGATAACCATCCTCGGCAATCATGGTGGGTGTGTATGCTCCTACCTCCACAACATCCACAACAGAACATTACATGGTGTCAGAATCAGGATGTGGCAGAACTACCTGAAAGAATGGCAGGACATTACAGTTGGTGCTGCAAGGAGGTTTTTTTAGGAAGGCTGCAGAAAAGGGAGAAGCAGCAGTCACAGATCACAGAATTCTGATCATTGAAGCTGTTTCATGAGTAGAACATCCTCCATTTCCTGTAATCTCATTACTGGCCTGTTACATCTTGCCCTGATTGACAGCCAGCTCAATGGTCATCATCCGAGTCTGTTCACAAAGGCACGTCAATGCTAAATAAATGTTCAGAAGCTTCCAGAGAAATTTCTCACGCTTTGAATTGTCTTTTGGGAAACCACTTGCTCAAGAGCCTTCCCAGAAAAGAAGTATTGTCAGATAAGGACTGCTGGCTGGGGAATCTGCATCCAAGTTTGACATTTTCACCAGAAGCCAAAAGACCACAAGATCAATGCTATTTTGAACCCTGTCCTTCTGGAGCAAAACATTGTTAACATCGCCCTGACTGCAAAAGACTGAACTGTTGCCACAGTCTAAAATGTCTGACAGGAAGCAATGGCAGCCATTTTGTACCAACTGGGCTGTGGAGGACAAAGGGTTTTCTTCTTTGATTCCTGACCAAGTCATATTATATCTGTATGCATCCAAATGGATGGGAGAGGGGTCACAGAATTAGACTGCCTCGACCACCTTGCCCTTTGAAATTCTCAGTACTAATTGAAGCACAACTTGAAGCACCGGGGAAATAATAATAATTACGCCTTGTCAAAAGTCTAGCTTGATGAAAGTGCCAGCATCAGCCCAGCTCTAACAGAGACATCCCTTCCACAGTTCAGCAGGCTGCTCTTTCAGTCTTGTTGCACTAGCTGTCAGCAAACAAGAGCATTACTGCTCCAGTGATTTATCGGATGGTGGAATTAGGCTCTCACTGGATCACTGAATACATCTGGACTGGCCTAATGAGCACAGTCTTTACCAGCAGACAAATTGTGGAGGGCTCCCAAATATTTTAGGCATGATTCACAGGCCCAATAGGTCTTGTTTACTGATACACTATTTATAACTAGCTCAATTAAATCACCTAGAGGAGGAGACAGACCAAAATCTCACATACCCAGGGATACCAGTTTTGTCTGAAGTGAGTATCTCCTCATTACACAGGTTAGAAAAACACCATTAATAATTTTGATAGTTTCTCTCAGGCATATTTATGTTACAGGCTTTGTTAAGCAGCACTGAGTATTTTTTATTCCTTCCTTCTGGCAGCACAAGAAATCAATTTGAGTGTAACCATCACACTGTGTAAACTAACTTAGGAGCAATGAAGTACTCAAAAGTTTATTTTCAACACTTAAATTAGCAGTGTTCCTGAATGAAGACCATTCTGTTTCTCTCGATAACTGAAAGGCTTCGATTTGTGGTGGCAAGGCACACCGTTTTGCTGTTGTGAGAAATGACACCATGGGAAGACATCCTGACATTCTTCCCCACACAAAACTGAGGTGGCAGAATGCAGTTGGGACAGCAATGTGAGCATCCGTCTTATGTCAGCTCGGGGATCTTGAGTGGAAGGATGTTGGTGTCAGGCAGCATTTGTGATGCCTGCTACTGGTCCTCTTGGTGAGTTCACACATGCATGTTTGTCACTTGATGACCGCCACACTGAATGTTCATTTGCCCACACAGCCACTTCAATCTGAAGAATGGCATTGTTCCGGGTGCCACATAATGCCCATTCCACATTTGTAAGAAATCAATATTTTGGAAATCAATATGATATCGAGTGGGCTCCTTCACTCTACTCTTTTCAGTGCCTGCTAAAACTTGCTTAAACAATCCTACCTAGTTACCTAGAATGCTAATGTGTGTGTTTTTAGTTTACTGCTGGTTTTATTTTTATTTTTTAATGTTTTAAATAGTTGTTTAAATGGTTTTTACCAATAATTTTATTCTTTTATTCTTTTGGTAAACGGCTTTGAGGTTTATTTAACAAGCAAACGCTATATATATATATATATATATATATATATATATATATATATTTGATGAAATAAATAAATGTGCAGAATGGCAAGCACACCTCAAACACAAAAGCCTTTTCAATGTTGACAGCTTATGAAAAACATCAAGCGCTGATGTAGCTTTGTCAAAAGCTTTCTGAAAATCTAAGTACATGATGTCAGTTGGCTCAGTCTAAGGATGCAGTCAACATATAATAATAATAAGACTGTGGTAAGAATGAAGGAGTCAGCTGCAGCTAAAAGGTTTTGGAGAAGTCTGCTTACCTTAGGAGTCAGGCAGCATTGCAGCCTGGCCATGGTTGTGTCTGCGATCTGAGGTTGTTGACTGGTGGGGATGGCAGCCTGCCTGCAGATTGACCAATTGCAGGCAGGCTCAGGCACAGAACGTCCCTGGGGGGCCATAGCACTCCTCAAGCAGGGGCCCCTCATGGTACCCCTATTTGATGTAGGTCATAGGGGCCCCCCATCATATTTGCTCCACCCTTAGATGCACTCCCAGCAGGTGGGCCAGAGTGAAAAATGATTATACCCAATGCCTAAGCCAAACCATGCACATCTATAATCAATAAAGTTGTGGCGTATTTGATCCCAGTTGTTGTCCTTGCTATGGGAGCAACGGGTTCACGGGGCCTTGGCATGCAATAAGATGGCATTGATGAGCTATCAAAAGGACCTAAGGAGTCTGGTATTCCAATATCAGAGTGTCACTACCAAAAAAGACAAGAATCTTAATAAACATGCTGGGGGGAGGGGCGGAGAGAGATAAGGTGTCTTAAGCTGTTTAAGTAGACATGGAAAAGGAGGGGGAAAGCAATATAATTCCACTATCAACCCTTGTTTGATCAAACATTTAAACCAGGCTTCCTCAACCTCGGCCCTCCAGATGTTTCGAGACTACAATTCCCATCATTCCCTGACCACTGGTCCTTCTAGCTAGGGATCATGGGAGTTGTAGGCCAAAAACATCTGGAGGGCCGAGTTTGAGAGAGCCTGATTTAAACTGTGCAGAAATACTACCTTAGAAGCAGTAGTAATTGCTCCCCCATCTCAACTGCAACCGATTCAGAAGTCCATGCAAGGCATCCAGTAATATGGGAGAAAAAGAAGACAACCTATACTGTGGTACCTCGGGTTACAGATGCTTCAGGTTACAGATGCTTCAGGTTACAGACTCCGCTAACTCAGAAATAGTACCTCGGGTTAAGAACTCTGCTTCAGGATGAGAACAGAAATCGCGCGGCGGTGGCACAGCGTCAGCAGGAGGCCCCGTTAGCTAAAGTGGTGCTTCAGGTTAAGAACAATTTCAGGTTAAGAACGGACCTCCAGAATGAATTAAGTTCTTAACCTGAGTTACCACTGTAGTTCTGACCAGCGCTTGATACCTGTATGGAAATAACACCTCCATATAGCCATGCTTCTGGTTGGCTGGATATTTTGTGCATTCAGGAGTTGCCTGGGCATGGGGGGTAAGTGCTTAATTTAGAAGGTACATTTTTAATACTGAACCACCTATTCCAGCAAAAGAAAAAACAAAGAGTTACACACACACACACACACACACACACTTGCAAGAGAGTGAACGTCATAATGCAACGTACCACAGTGATTTAGCGGGTGAGAGTACTAGATTCTCAGCATGACAGCTTATCCAGGGTATGCACTAAAGCACTGAATCACTAAACTGGTATGTTCCTAAACTTCACATCGTATTTTTAAAATGAATATTATTCAGTTGAAAAGTGGCCTGATGTAGGTTTACACAGTACTATTAATTCTAAAAATAGCTTTTCCAAACATTCATAATGCACCATATAATAGAGATGGTGGCATTTTAATATATTATTCTGATTACTTGCTTTTACTATAATGAGTTATGCAGACATACAGAAAAATGTTCAGTTGACACAGGCTATCCAATACTCCATCTGAAGGGTAAGCAGCATTCTTTGTTGGATCAGGATCAGGGAGTATTGATTTGTTTAATTGAGGGGGGAAGGAGGGGGAGAGAGAGAGAGAGACGTTGCTCTTCAGCATCAAGTTATCTCATTTGAATAAATCCCAAGCTTCAGCCCTAGATGTGAAAAGGACCTAGGCAGTCTTAGCAGACCATAAGCTTAACATGAGTCCACAGTGTGATGCAGCAGCAAAAAAGCTAATTCTACTCTAGGCTGCAGGGACGCGGGTGGCGCTGTGGGTTAAACCACAGAGCCTAGGACTTGCCGATCGCTTGGTCGGTGGTTCGAATCCCTGCAGCGGGGTGAGCTCCCGTCGTTCGGTCCCAGCTCCTGTCAACCTAGCAGTTCAAAAGCACCCTTAAGTGCAAGTAGATAAATAGGTACCGCTTACTAGCGGGAAGGTAAACGGCGTTTCCGTGTGCTGCGCTGGCTCACCAGATGCAGCTTGTCATGCTGGCCACGTGACCCGGAAGTGTCTGCGGACAGCGCTGGCTCCCGGCCTATAGAGTGAGATGAGCGCACAACCCTAGAGTCTGGCAAGACTGGCCCGTATGGGCAGGGGTACCTTTACCTTTATTCTAGGCTGCATCAACAGAAGTATAGGGTCCAGATCAAGGGAAGTAATAGTACCACTCTATTCTGCCTTGGTGAGACCACCCTTGGAATACTGTGTCCAATTCTGCACCCAACATTTAAGAAAGATATTGACAAGCTGGGAATGTGCAGAGGAGGGTGACCAAGATGATCAAGGATTTGGAAACAAAGCCTTGTGAGGAACAGTTGAGGAAGTTGAGGATGTTTAGCCTGGAAAAAGAGGAGACATGATAGTCATCTTCAAATATCTCAAGGGCTGTCACATTGAAGATGGAGCAAGCTTGTTTTCTCCTACTCTAGAGGGTAGGAGACTTTGAGTTACCAAACCAATGACTTTGAATTACAAGAAATAAGATTCCAATTAACATGAGGAAGAACTTTCTGACAGTAAGAGCTGTTTGACAGTAGAACAGATTCCCTCTTTGGAGACTTTTAAGCAAAGGTCGGGTGGCCATCTGTCATGGATGCTTTAGCTGAGATTCTTGCATTGCAGGTGGTTGGATTTGATGACCCTCAGGATCCCTTCCAACTCTACAGTTCTGATTCTATGATTTAATAGATCCTCACCAAGGGATTCCTGGTAAATATGGTGTCTAATTGGCAATAGTATCTGTAAACAATGCATTATGTCTCTCTGTGTAAGTGACGAAGAGGCAGTTTCTATAGAAATTGCTATTTTTATGGACTGCTTGAAGGAAATGGGCACATAAAACTGCAGACTACAATCCCCAGGCAGCTCTAACTTAGTGCAGAGTATACTTTTGTTTCACTCAAACAGTTGTCTACCCATAAAACAGGAACCACTAATATTGGCTGCAATCCTGTGCACAGGTTGCTTAAGTCCTCACTGTGTTCAATTAAATCCATCCCATCCAGCAGCTTCTATCCTGTTGGTTAATTCTCTTTGGTACCAACTTTGATTTGAGGATAACGCTTCAAATACTGTCACTGGCGGAGGAAGAGGCGTGCGGGGGGAGCGCACCACCCCCAGCAGCGCGATCCCAGTGGGGTGCCATCACGGCTGTCCCCTGCCCGTACAGGGCGCCATGCCCCTACGGGCAACACACCACGTCCTAAGGATGCACGCCATGCCCCCGGGACGCACGCCAGCTCCACCCCCACCTGCTCTCCACCGCCCGGTGCCAGAGCATGAAGCTCCGCCACTGTATACTGTATCTGTTACATTGCAATTACCAATAACAGCCCTGTATGGCAACTCCTGATGGTACAACAGAGTTTGACTTAATATGCCAGTTACTAAGCTTGTTTTTTTTTATTGCTTGATGTTTATTTCCGTTTTGTTAAGTTTTACCTGCTGATTTATACCCTGCATTTCATACCTGTGCTTTTATGTGCAATGTACTGCTTGCCTTTGTGATAGCTTAGTTGCTGTTTTTATATTCTGCATTATATATCTAATATCATTCTAATAATGTTGAACAGGTCAGTGTCGATCCAACCACAGTAAGCAGTGTGGGATGTAATCCACTGGGAGCAGTCAAGTACAACATTCCTTGTTTTGCTAGGGTGGACATGCAAGGGAATGTTTGGTCCAGCCAGTTGAAACTTCCTGTTCCTCCTGGCCTGGAGCATCCTTCCTTGCATGTGACAAGTGGGTAGGTGTGACCTTTCCAGACCTGGTAAAAGGACAAGGCATGCTGCCACTCTCTCTCTCTTCCATCTTCTTTTCGTCCTGCAAACTTCCTGGAATGAACTGCTGGCTGCCAGCTAGGCAGTCCCCCAGGTCATCTCCATTATGGGATAAACCTGTTAGTATAAGTTTGTAACTTTAAGCCTAAAGCCTGCCTTCAGGAATCACACTGTGTTCTGCCTGATCACGAGCAAACTTTCTTTTTATTGCTTATGAATAAGACTGTGGTGTCTTTATTTTTTTAGGAGGAATTTAAAAGGGGATCTTACCAGGAACATACAATCAATCTGAGGGAGACTGAATTGCGTAATAGTAAGAGGTCCTAACGACCCTGCTGTGTGTGAGAAGGGGAATGTAAACTCTACTAAGTAAAGGAACTTGCTAGTGCAAGTTAGGAAG